TGGGAATAAATAAGGCTAACTATTTAACGCTAATTTGTGTTTATGTGCAACATTAGGTAGAAAGACAAAAATGTGCTGGTTTGCCAGTGTCAGAAGAGATAAGTATTCACTCACATGGACCGCACTACACAGTTAAACAATGCAGCGGATATCATGTAAATGGGTGTTTATTTCAACGGGTTGGGCTTGAGGAGGAGAGAGTTACTCAAAATAGTGTTGACCCTATAGTTTTGATGATGATTTGGCAAACAATTTATTACTAATAAGTTTTCTAGTGTTTTGTGTTCATGCTCTCTTTTCAGGTATTTCAACACACGTAAATCAAGCGTTAAAGATTCAAGTTCATTCGTGTGGATTTACCTAGGTATATGTTTGGTTTACTTACATATATTGTATGATTATATCTAAGCTCAATATATATACACTTGACACGATTTTTTTGTCGTTTTCTATCATATAAATGATTTTTCATTAAACGTTGTTAAAATATCTTTATCTCATGTTTAACAGCTCTTTCGTACTTCATTTATGCACAATATATATATATGAATATTTACAATTTTCTAAGCATTTTTCAAAAATAGGTAGTTTTCACAAACGAAAATTGTTTTTCCAAAAATTCCTTTTCAAACATGTTCATTTCATCATTTAGAAACTTTCCCCAAAGTTTCACTATTTTTGGATGTGATTTGATATTTTTAACGAATTTTCAAAACTGCCCAAAACCTGTTAATATTGCATATGTCAGTTTTCGGTCGACCGGTACGGTCGACCGACAGTTGTTCTTTTTCTGAGCCAATTTCCAGAGAGCCTTCCGGTCGACCGCACCGGTCGACCGAGAGAATTTCCGGTCGACCGAAAATTCCGTCGGTCGACCGACAGCTCTAAACCCTGTTTCTTTGAGTCTTTTGTGCTTCGCGGTCGACCGCCGAACGGTCAGAATGTTACAACGGCTAGTTTTTGACAGTTGTTTTCAAAATTGGTTTTGGACTTTTGCTCAGTTGTTTGCTGCTGTATTGGGGTACTATATATACCCCATTGCTGCTCTTCCTCTCCAGATCCAAGAAATCCAAGTTTGTTGTTTAACAAGATATTAATCGTATTTAAGAGCTGTTTAAGAGTTGTTTCATTAATCAGTTTTCAAGAAAAGTTTTACTACAACAAGAAGAGGCTTGCAAATCCTATTGGGATCATCATTTCTTCAGCTCTTCTTGTCCATTGAGAAGTTTTCTAAACTCTTCTTTATATAGCTCATTGTTTCACTTTTATTTGTTTAGCTATATTCATTGAGTTATATTTATTGAGTTTCATTCACTATTATCACACACTTATTGAGCTTAATATTTTCATATTATATATTGTGGGTTGTGGGGTGTGATTTAGTGAGTGTGAGCTTCATTGAGTTCTCACTTGTTATTTGAGAACAAATTATTGTATTTAACTTTTATTTGTGAGAATCACTTGTAATACACTTGTACACCGAGAGAAGTGTGAGGAGAGAGAGACGGGTGAGGCGAGAGATGGGGTCGAATCCAATAGGAATGGCGTCGGTTGACTAACCTATGGAGAGGTCGCATCCGAGCACTTGAGGAGTAGGACACGGGCTAGGTTCCTACACTTAGTGTGTAAAGAGTGATTATTGAGTGATTGTGTAGTGTGAGAGTTTTCGGTGAACTTGTAAACCGAGTGTGTAGAAGTTCCGGCTTCCAAACCGGATTGTGATAGTGGATATCTCCTCGAGGTGAGGAGCGGGGACGTAGGTCGTGGGGACCGAACCTCGTAAACATATCGTGTGTTTGTGTTTTGCTTGTCTCACATTTTATTTGTGCATATTCTTATTACTCTTATTATTCTTATTGTTCTTATTGTTCATATCTATCTCTTGCAAGAACATATTGATCTATATAATTTTAATTAGGTTTTAATTGGGATTAGATTAGCATAAGACCCTAATCACCCCCCCTCTAGGGTCTAACAATTGGTATCAGAGCTTGGTGCTCTTTGATTTAAGGACTAACCGCCTTGAGTTAAAGATCCAAGTTATTGTATTTGTGCTAATCTAATTACATTGTGCCTCTTGTACTCCCCTTTGATTTGAATAGTAAAGCTTCCCTCTCCTTGCCCCGTGGACGTAGGCATATTGCCGAACCACGTATATCTTGTGTTTGTGCTGTGATTGGTTGGCTTGCATTGGTTTGTGGTCTACTATTGTCTTGTGTGTGCCTTCGATTTGTCAATTTAGGGCTTCCGCGGCGCACAACAAGTGGTATCAGAGCTCCGGGTTGGATTTGGGAGTTTTTTTGTTCGAAGGATTCACTGTTGGATTCTTGTTTGAAGAGTAGATCTACAATATGGTTGAAACAAGCAGGGCTAGTTTAAGTGCTACTAGTACATCGGGGTCGGCTTTGACAAAGGCGATCCAAAATTTGAGCATCAATAACACCAAAATTGATGTTCCAAAGTTCGACGGCAAGATCAACTTCGGTTTATGGAGGTGTCAAGTAATGGACGCCTTAGATGCACAAAATTTGGAGGAGACTCTTGAATTTCAAGAGAAACCCGAGGAGATTGATGATAGGGTTTGGAAGAAAATGAACAGTAGGGCTTGTGGAGTTATTCGATCATGCCTAACGCCGGATCTCATTTATGATGTGATGAATGAGACGTCGGCAAAGAGATTGTGGGAAACGCTCAATGAAAAATATTTGACGAAGAGCATTGAGAATAGGCTTCATTTGAAGAAGAGGTTCTACCAATTCAAGATGAAGAGAGGGGTTTCCATTCGGGAGCATGTCAATAACTTTACAAAGCTTATTTCGGATATGGCCAATGTTGATATCATGGTGGAAGATGAAGATAAGGCGATGTTACTATTGTGTTCGTTGCCGGATGATGAGTTTAGTACTTTTGTTCTCACTATGATAAATGGGCGAACTACAGTTAGCTACAAGGAGGTAACCTCGGCATTGGTGAACTATGAGCTGAGGAAGAATGATGGTGAGCCCTCTGAGAAGGCATCGGGTGATGCATTAGCAGTTCGTGGCCGTAGTCCAAATCGTCAGAAGTTCAACCGCTCAAAATCAAAGAATAGGGGTGGCCATAAAAGTGTTGGTAGAAATCAATGTGCCTTTTGCAAAGAAGAGGGACATTGGAAGAATGAGTGCCCAAAGTTGAAGGATAGAGCCGGGAAGCAAAAGGGGAAAGCTGTACAAGCTTCAGAGGTTAATGTTGCTAAGGTTGTTGGCGACATTTCAGATTCAGATTCTTCCGGTTATTCTTGTCCCGTACTGCCGTCAGTTTGTTATGCCGACTCTTCGGAGTGGATGCTTGATTCGGGAGCCACATTTCACATTTGCCCCAAGAGGGATTGGTTTACCAACTTTGAGGAGTTGAAGAGAGGAGACGTGGTGCTCATGGGGAACGATCACGTTTGTCCTATTAGTGGGATTGGCTCAGTCAGAATCAGAATGCATGATGGGGTTAGAGTTTGGGCGATTTTGAGCTGAGCAAAGGGAGATTTGAGGGCTTCTATTGTTGGAGTCTATTTGAGAGATCTTTTGGTCTTATTTGAGGGTTTTGGGTAAGATTTGTAACCCTAACTTGTACTCCCCTTTGATTTGAATAGTAAAGCTTCCCTCTCCTTGCCCCGTGGACGTAGGCATATTGCCGAACCACGTATATCTTGTGTTTGTGCTGTGATTGGTTGGCTTGCATTGGTTTGTGGTCTACTATTGTCTTGTGTGTGCCTTCGATTTGTCAATTTAGGGCTTCCGCGGCGCACAACAAGTGGTATCAGAGCTCCGGGTTGGATTTGGGAGTTTTTTTGTTCGAAGGATTCACTGTTGGATTCTTGTTTGAAGAGTAGATCTACAATATGGTTGAAACAAGCAGGGCTAGTTTAAGTGCTACTAGTACATCGGGGTCGGCTTTGACAAAGGCGATCCAAAATTTGAGCATCAATAACACCAAAATTGATGTTCCAAAGTTTGACGGCAAGATCAACTTCGGTTTATGGAGGTGTCAAGTAATGGACGCCTTAGATGCACAAAATTTGGAGGAGACTCTTGAATTTCAAGAGAAACCCGAGGAGATTGATGATAGGGTTTGGAAGAAAATGAACAGTAGGGCTTGTGGAGTTATTCGATCATGCCTAACGCCGGATCTCATTTATGATGTGATGAATGAGACGTCGGCAAAGAGATTGTGGGAAACGCTCAATGAAAAATATTTGACGAAGAGCATTGAGAATAGGCTTCATTTGAAGAAGAGGTTCTACCAATTCAAGATGAAGAGAGGGGTTTCCATTCGGGAGCATGTCAATAACTTTACAAAGCTTATTTCGGATATGGCCAATGTTGATATCATGGTGGAAGATGAAGATAAGGCGATGTTACTATTGTGTTCGTTGCCGGATGATGAGTTTAGTACTTTTGTTCTCACTATGATAAATGGGCGAACTACAGTTAGCTACAAGGAGGTAACCTCGGCATTGGTGAACTATGAGCTGAGGAAGAATGATGGTGAGCCCTCTGAGAAGGCATCGGGTGATGCATTAGCAGTTCGTGGCCGTAGTCCAAATCGTCAAAAGTTCAACCGCTCAAAATCAAAGAATAGGGGTGGCCATAAAAGTGTTGGTAGAAATCAATGTGCCTTTTGCAAAGAAGAGGGACATTGGAAGAATGAGTGCCCAAAGTTGAAGGATAGAGCCGGGAAGCAAAAGGGGAAAGCTGTACAAGCTTCAGAGGTTAATGTTGCTAAGGTTGTTGGCGACATTTCAGATTCAGATTCTTCCGGTTATTCTTGTCCCGTACTGCCGTCAGTTTGTTATGCCGACTCTTCGGAGTGGATGCTTGATTCGGGAGCCACATTTCACATTTGCCCCAAGAGGGATTGGTTTACCAACTTTGAGGAGTTGAAGAGAGGAGACGTGGTGCTCATGGGGAACGATCACGTTTGTCCTATTAGTGGGATTGGCTCAGTCAGAATCAGAATGCATGATGGGGTTAGAGTTTGGGCGATTTTGAGCTGAGCAAAGGGAGATTTGAGGGCTTCTATTGTTGGAGTCTATTTGAGAGATCTTTTGGTCTTATTTGAGGGTTTTGGGTAAGATTTGTAACCCTAACTTGTACTCCCCTTTGATTTGAATAGTAAAGCTTCCCTCTCCTTGCCCCGTGGACGTAGGCATATTGCCGAACCACGTATATCTTGTGTTTGTGCTGTGATTGGTTGGCTTGCATTGGTTTGTGGTCTACTATTGTCTTGTGTGTGCCTTCGATTTGTCAATTTAGGGCTTCCGCGGCGCACAACAGGAGGGACATCCCAAAACCCGTTTTATGAGTAAACGAGAGTTGGTGTGTTTCTCCTGGGTGTTGGATGGTTTGTCGTTGATATGGCACATATCCAAGTTATTAGCAATGATCTAGTTGTAATGACTTGGATGTGTGACAACCGCATAGAGAGGCACAAACCCCATTTAATAAGTATATTTTATGAATGAGTAATGTTTTCAGGAATCATGCACTAAGAAAGAACAATCATCCCGTTTCTTGGCTAAACGCGTAAATGATACAAGCATAAACAGGCTAATGTCAGCAAAAATGGTAAGTTTTGACGTTTACAGGTTGATGATATATTACTCGTACCTGATACAAGAGCATCAAAGAAACTGTCATCTCCAGCTAGCTCACTGCCCTTCTTGTTCTTCCAGTCCCCCAGATGCTCGACAATACTCTCATCCAAATAAATCCCAATTGCATTGTGCTTAATTTGAAGGAAATGTATCTCGATATCAGTAATTCCTGCACATAATGAAAGTATTAGTGAACCAAATATGAAATATGAGCATCAAATCTATAAAGTCCTGAAAACTCTCAATCAACATTAATATGATACCTGAAAACATGTGAAGTTCGTGCGTGTCAAGATTCAGACATTATAGAGATCCTGAATTATCTAGAGGTTATGAACATTTCAGTGTCAATTTTGATTTAACTTATATTTTCATGGATTCAAACTGAAAATTTGCTTTTTACTGAAACTTGATTTAATCAGGCATGAAATTCTACGGATGTATCGTACTACAAAATTAGGAGTGATTCCCGACAAGCCACTATGAAATGCACATTCTTCAACATATACAATTATCGACGTCTTTTGTTTTTCCTAGCATTAAAATTTCTGGTATTGTAAGGGCCGAAAATTACAAGCTTATACTCTTAACATACTTCCTCATATTGATTGTCCTTTTATGAACCGATACCAGTGATCGAAATCAAAGAAGAAGAACATATTTTGAGGGGCTCCGGTAATGGGTAAGGGTTTGATTTTGTTTCTGTGTTGTTGTGTATTTCTCAAGGAGATTACTCCTCTTTATATAGGAGCCAGAACTCATTATCTCCACCCCCCATAACTGCTCCTGAGAGAATTTCTCTCAACAAACCCAATTTTTCTCCACGTTCTTCTCAAACGAACGTTGATTTGGTCATCTTAGACTAGGTCAAGCTAACAAATATGAGCTTTAATGTAGTTTTTTTTTTAACCTGCTTTTTGAGGATTTAAAAATCTGGGTTGCTGTGGTATCATCTCGAATGCACTTTCATATTCACTTTCATAATATCAAAACTTAGAAACTGTGACGGCACGAACTCAAACCCAAATGATCATATTACGTACTAAGTAACGAAGCTAAATATGATAAAATCAGTTACCAGAGCCCATGAGTGGCAAAGCCTTCGAGGTTGTAATCTCACAAGGAAAAGGAATCTCATCCACCATCACCATCTCAGAGCCCACTGCACAAAAATGCACACACAAAATTTACAAACAATTAATTAACATAATCAAGAGATATGAAACTACAAAGAATTGAAGATTACTAACTTGAGAAAGAAAGAGCAGAAGTTTAGAGTAGACAGAGGAGAGCTCAAAGAGGAGCCGTGGTAGTTGGAGCTATTGTGAGGAGAGAAGGGTGAGTGTGAAGTTAATAAAGGAAGAGATTGGTGGTAGTTGGGGGAGTCTCTTCTATGTAAAGATCAATGGTAGATGTGGGCGCATGGCAACCAACCGCACATATTGAAGTTTTTGTGCTCAATTTTTAAAGCTCTTGTAAATGTAGGCTAACAAAGATTTTTGAATTCTGACTTCTGCTTTTTTTTTAAAAAAAAAATAAATATGATAAATGATCATTAATAGCCAGACCAAAGTTGTGTTACATTTAGTGCACAACATCACAGATGTTTGTCCTAAATTTAAGCCAGGATCTATAAGATTGCAGAAGATTTACAGAAGATATCATTAATCTATATATTCAACAAGATTATAATACCAAAAGCAAATGGCTGATTAGATTAAAGATTTACACTTTAGTACCAATGTACAAGAATAAAGGAGACATGAAAAATTGTCCAAACTAACAAGATATAAAACTTATGACTGTGCACTGTGAAATTTTGGGAGAGAATCGTTGCGATAAACTAATAATATCGGTTATAATTGTCATTTGAATTATTTCATTATTCTCCTTATTCAATAATTCTTATTTGATTTATTTACTTTGCAGAAATTGTAGTGTGAGGTCGGCTAACAACTCATCAACCATTTTCCGCAAGCAAAATCAAGAGAAATTTGGTACAAAATACACAGTCAGGAGTTACTACTTAATAGTACATATTCGAGAAAAATAGATAATCAAAGAAAGAAATATTAGGATAACCCTATACAGATAATTTATATAGAAGAGGAATCAAATTGTCTATGAGCAATTTCTCAAGCTCTATTAAATCAGCGTATAAACAACTTGGTGGACTGAACTCTTAGCCCATTTAAGTTTACACGAGCTTTTCTCTTACTTGTGATAACTTTTTTGGAACATGAGAAGACTCTTACGGCCAATCTTGTATTGCCAGAGCTTACAATAAGTTGATTATCAAAGCAACCAATAGAAGCAACTTATATAAGCTGCTGAAAATAGCAGTTTGATATTCAAATATAAAAAACTACTTAAAAACAGTTAAGACGTTTCGTAGAACTATGTTTAATGATCATTATTATATACAATATATAAATTAAAAAACCAAAAGTTGTCTTTAAAAGCGTCCCCAATTTGCTTTTAAAAGCACCCCTTTAAAAAAAGAAGCAGTTTTAATAAGAATGCCAATAAAATTTTCACTAAACATTATTATTGACTGTTTCTTAAAAAATAAACAAAAGCATTATAAAAAAAAGCAATATTAAACTGGCACTTATTCAGCTTGGATCATTTAGTAGTGAGATTTACCTTTATAGATGCTATTTGGTAAAGGTTTGGAGAAGGACTCCATCACCTCAATCAAGTTGTTCAATAATAATTTCTGTGTCAGCTGTTGAATAGTTTAAATTGTTTACTAGCTCAATCGCGCGTACACTACATGTGCGAAAAATATTAAGTTGTTATCCAACTAATTATCTATTATACATAGTAATAACTCGATAACTATTTAATTTATGTACAGTTATTGCAAAGTTCTATGAAGAAAATGTTTTCCGAACTGTTATTTTAGTAGTTAAATCAACAAATATTCTTAATACAAATTTGTTGAAGATTTTTTCTTTGAGGATAATATAATTAGAGCAAGTGACTAAAATAAAAATGAAAAATAAAGAAGATTGCAATTTAATTATGTAAGTTTATATTCTAGTCCTATGTTATGCTTTAGCATGTTCTAGCAATAAGGATGAAAGAAAGGAAATAAATGAAAAAAATCTCTCTTGCAAAATAATTTTAATTATGCGAGTTTAATCATATTTTCATGTCATTACTTTAGAATGTTCTAGAAATAAAAACTAGAAAGAAAGGGGGGAATCTCTTTTCCAAAATTACAATTTTACCCTCACAAGCAATACTACTATATAATGAACATGATGGGGTAGCAAAAGTTGGATGAGTGGTAGATATTTTCCTCCATTCTATTATAACTTGGAGGGTAAATGGTCATTTCGCAAGAGATATTTTTCTCCCTTTCTTTTCTTTTCATTCTTATTTCTAGAAAACTATAAATAATGAGATGAGAACATGATTTGAACTTAAACAAGTAAGATGCTAATTTTCAGGAGAAATATTTATTTTCTCTCTTTTCTTTTCTTTTTTCCTTTTTTATAGAACATTCTAAGTCATGAAACGATAATACAAACATAATTAAATTGCAATATCACCATTTTTTAGTCACTTACTCTAATTATATTACCATTAATTAGGAAGCTACCCAACAAAATTGTGTTAAGAATAGATTTAATTAATAAATAATAGTTTAAGATATATTTTATATGTAGAGTTCCATAGTAAATTTGCATAAATTAAATCATCATCAAACTATTAAATGAAAATGTAAGACTAACCACGTAACTGAATAATTTTTGCACGTGCATCACACGAGCCAATATGCTAGTTACAATGGAAAGAAGGGGATATGTCCTCTAATCATCCAACTTTTTATCACCCTTAATAAGTTCATAAATTAGTATAGATAATCTCTGTTTTCTTTCTTTCTTTCTTTCTTTCTTTTTCTTTGAAATTTTTTGATTTCATATGGTGTGGGGATATAATAATAGGGTAAATATTAGAAAAAAACCCTTAACTTTGGGTGACTATCAGAAACCCCCTTACCTCCCCCCGCCTCCAAAGTATAGAGATTATCACAAAATCCCCCATTAACTTTCAGATTTTATCACAAAACCCTCTTTACCTTTGAGATTTTATCAGAAACCCCTCTAGTTAAAGGGACTTTTGATAGCCCCTAAATTTAAGAGGGGTTTTATGATATTTTAATAGTTAAGGGGGTTTTCTGACGGTCATTCAAAGTTAAGAGGGTTTTTATGATTATAATCTATATAATATGTCCATGGTGAGAAAGTCTAGAGGCGGTCGCTCAAAGCAACTGTCCACTCGCCGTCTAAGGGCATCTCCAACGGCTTCTCTAAAATTTTCTCCAAAATGGGGAAGCAAAAGTCATATTCTTCAAATTATTTTTACACCAACTCCAACAGCTTCCCCATTTTGAAGAATCCATTTTTTCCTCCAAAAATTTGGAGAATGCTGCAGATTTAGGGAAGCTTTCCCATTTTTTCTCCTCCATCCCTATTTTGGGGAATGAGATGGGAAATTTTTTGGACCAAAAACCTAACTATATTCTCCAAAAGTGGGAAATGGGGAAGCTGTTGGAGACGCTCGGGCTACATCAACATAATATTCAATCAGTTACAGAAGGTAATCCATGTCTCTATTTTAGTAAATATAATCATTATTAATTTATTTTCTCTGCTAAATTTAAGTGAGATGAAAGATAAAATCAAGGGTTAATTTAAGAAAACCCTCTTGAACTTTCAGCGTCTTGGACTAAACCCCCTTTATCTTTTTTAGATCCCCTGAACTTTAGGCGTTATTGCACGTAACCATCCTAAAATTTTTTATTCCTCTAAATTTCACCTAAATGTTTCTTATTTGATCCCCAAAATTAGTGCCATCATCTAACATGTCATATGAAAAACATGAGACAAAAAAAGATAAAAATAACCTCTCGGTCTAAAAGAAATTATCCTTTATTTTAATAAAAGGGTATTTCTTTTGGTCAAAGAAAGAATTTTCATTTTTTGTGAGAGAAAAAGGAAATAGCGTTAGAGCTGGAGGTGCTAATTGGAAGATTAAATAAAAACATTTAGATGAGATTTAGTGGAATAAAAAGTTAAGGGGTTATGTGCAATAACCTCCAAAGTTTAAGGGTATCTAGAGAAATAAAAAAAGTTTATAAGGGGTTTAGTGCAACACCCCCACAAAGTTCAGGTGTATTTAGTAAAATAGAAAATTCATGGAGTTTAGCGTAATAACCTCAAAGTTTAGGGTTAGTTTCTGAAATTAACCGCAAAATCAAATAGATGGCAACTTTCACATTCTCTAAGGAATCGCCCTTTTCTAAGAAGTGGGTTCAATTTTAGATTACCCATATCTATAATTAAATCCACCATCTTTAATTTTACCCATATCTATAATTAAATCCACCATCTTTAATTTCTTGCATTTTCTTTTATTCTTGAATTTTATTTTCTTTATTCTTGATTTTTATTTTCTTTTTCCTTCTTGCCTTATTGATCATATTCATTCTTTGTCACATCCACTCTCACTTATATTTCGTACCGATTTACACACTATCACTTTCACTCTTTCTATCTCTCCACAATCATATTCACTTATCATTCCTATTTGTCACGCACACAACATAAGAACCGATTTTATATTTTCTCCTACAAAACACCTTCCTCATGGGATCGATATCTTAAATACTATAACTTGACACGGTTGTGCACTTGCAACCTTTTTGGTACATGTTTATGCCGCATCAAGTTTTTAACTCTACTTAAAAAGTTCTAGGTGACTAACCCCCCCTAAGCATATTTTCTTTAATTTCCAACCTACATTAAAAGTTCTATTATGCTACATAATTAGTATAGAGTGATTATTATCTAATAAAAAATTGATTCACTCATCTACTTTCAAGGATTAATTGAACAAAAAGTTTAAAATTTGCAAATATTAAACCCCAAAAACGCTTAGATGATGTAAATTTGCAAATTTACAAATTCTAATGCAGAATTATCAATGCTACCCACTGGTATCAATTCTGGTGGGAAAGTGCGGGTACGAGGCAAGTGAGAATGGGCTTGAGGGCAGTGGCAAAGCCACATGGAGCTTGCCTTGGGCATGTACCCAGGGCAAGAAAATGAAAATTTATTTTTTATATGTGGTAAAGTATCTACCTCTTCATTCTACTCATCCACACAATCTACACTGTTATGACAAAATCTAAGGATCAATGATATAAAGATAATTTGTCTAATTATGGTTGTCCTTTAACATAGAACTGTCACATATTTGGATGAATATGACAATGAGACGCAACTTAAAACAACTAAAATTTTTGAGTATAAACTGAAAATGTGAAGATATAAGGGTTGCTATCAAATTACAAGCTAGTTTCTCAACAAT